TGGGCAGCCCTTACCGACGGAGACGTAAACCTGTGAGGTGGGATGCGGTGTGACACTTTTTAGGGTCGACCTTTTCTAACCCTTCCTTCCTTGTGAGAAGGCAGCATCACTACAGATGCTAGTTGTCCAACGCAAACCTCTTACTGCTGTCACACCCCTCTGCAGTCAGCAGAGGGGTGTGACAGCACCTCACACCTTGAGTAGCTGTTTTTAGTCCCACCGCTCCCCAATCGACCTGCCTGGCATGGTAGAACCTTCAGGAACATATGTTCCAGCCAATATAGCTCGGTTGGGTCATCACGACAGGCAAGCCCGACCACCACGTCAAGGTAGCAGCTACGGTCGGGGAACATGAGGAGAAGTTCGCAATATGACACTAATTGTTTTACTACATACCCTATAAGCTATCTCATATTCTAGATTGCATCAGCAAAATAGTAACAAAGTATTTGCCATCTCTCTAACTGGTTACATTTGTAGAAACGAGTATTTAGCAACTATGGTACTTTGCAAAACTATCTACTTAGTACATTATAATTTTACTGTAATTATTTCCATTCTTTTTTTGTTATATTACAGCAATTTTCCCGTCTTCTGGTCAATTTTCATATGTGGATCCTATACCATTAGATAACAGCCTGACAAGATCAGCTTGTCCTGACCGTCTAGTATCACCACTCTCTCCTTCCGTATCAAACAAACACGTTCAGCTTTCTTCAAAGTCATCAGCTTTATCAAAATCTACTGTAAATTCAGATTTATCAGACAAAATCAATTCCGTTACAAATCATTTTCATAATAAGCGCAGAATAGATTGTAATTTTATTAACGAATCTCATTCAGGGAATAATGTTTCTTCTAAACAAAATGTTCATCCTACCAATGCTGCATCATCTATTTTTCAGGAGGAATTACGAGATAGAATAAAGCAACATTCTCAGCAACTCAAAGGTTCATCTCAACTGAAACCGATTACACCTAAAACTATATCAAACAATTCACCTAGTAGTAATGTTGCGAATTCACTCTTGTGTAATCAGGAAAAAACTGATTCGAAACCATCAGTTTCTAACTCTTCTCCTTATTTCACCATCCCTCGATCGAAACCAACACCAAATTCTACAAATTCACCTCGATTACCTTCAAATAACGCTTCTGGATCTAGTAACAATCAAATTCCAACACGTGGTAAAGTGGAACCTCCACGTTATCCTTCAGAATTGATTCGATCACTTGCATCGACTCAGATCAAAAATGATAATACTTCCAATTCAACTGTTATTACAGTCAACAAGTTGCTCACAAATAGCAATAGTAATAATAATAATAATACTAATAATAATAATAGTAATGGTAATAATAACAATAATTTTCCAAAACCTCAATACAAAAGATCTGAAAATGAAATCTCTGATAAATTACCTGACATGATACAAAAACGTTTAAGTTGGACTGGTCCAACTGATGATAGTTCAACTGGTAATCAGAAACGATCTCAACGATTATATTTACCTACTATATTTTCTACATCATCTACAGCGTTGGATGAAACTGACGGTAATAATCATTATGCTCCACCAACAAAAAATCATTTAAAAAAGCATTTATCAACTATTTTAGAAGAGTTAGAACGTTTAATTCGATTGAATGATAAAAAATTTCCTGAAAAAACTACTTCCTCTTCCTCCTCCACTACCATTTCATCGTCATTACCGTCTACATCAAATCTGGAACAATTAATTGAATTGGCAGATCAAATGGAAGCATGTCGACTTAGTTGTTCTGCTTACATTGATCAGGCTACATGTTCAGCTCGAGCAAAATTTAATTTTCGTGATCGATTTGCATGTCTACAAACATTTAGCAATTTATTACGTTCTAAAAAACTAGATTCTACTTGTAACAATAATACTAATAATAATAATAATACTTGTAAGTTAAAGGATGCAAAAAATGCTATCAAAGAAATAATTAGCGATTTAGACAAACTAACAGATAGCGTCAATGCAACATCAACACTGGAAACTACATTGACTAATTCGAATTTAGCAGCATCTAATCAGTCCAATTTAACTTGTACAGAAAATCTTAGTATTACTGACAATAGAAGCGCTACAATTTTCACTTGATTTATTCACATCTATGTGCATATTATTATTACCATTATTATTATTATTATTCCTGGTTAATATTTTGAAGTGTTACATCGAAATTGATGGTGTACCTGTTTTCAACACGTATGCGGTGACAAATACTAATGAAGATGATGATAATGGTAGTCAAATATTTTTTATATATATATATATATATATATATATATATATATATATATATATATACAGTATAACTAATGCATTTTTATCTTCAACTATCATTCTTTCGCTTTTTTTTGTGTGGCTAAATCCATGAAGACAAATTCTTGTTTACAGATTGGAATATTTAGTCTTTTGCTTTTCTTTTATTTCAGTTGTTTTACTGACTTTGTTTTCTTCTGACTCCCTAATTATTCTCTAACTACATTTGTATTAATTTGTGTGCGGTTTTTTCGCCACCCCCAGTTTTTGTTCATGTTTGTATATGTCTTGTGTTTATATGTTCCTACTTATCACTAGAAGTGTCAAATCCGTCAATCTTTAACATACACATCTCTGTAATTTAACGCTCATTCATATTCATTTAAAATACATGTTCCGCTTTCATCTCTTCCATTTCTTTACAATCTAAGTGATGAATATGTGTATATTCTTATTTTAGCTCACTTCTCAATTCATAATATTGTAAATAAACTGTTGTCTATTGTGTTTTTTTTTTTAATTGTTATTTTAATATTCAATCGACAATACAATTCAGTTTTCTTTTCTTTGTACTAATCTTCACTATTGTTACAATAATATTGTATAGTATATCTTCTGGAACTTTCTATTAAAATAGATTATTTTTTCAATTGAAAATCATGTGTTTCCTACTTTCAATTTAAAAAAGAAAATTAGGGAATTTTTTCTGTTCAAATTATTTGCGCACAAACTTACTCAATGATTGCTAATCCAGGTTGATCAGTTCAATGAATATTGATTTGTTCATTTGTACAATTTCATCGTGAGATTTGCTTATTTTGACTTAATTGATTCTTATATGCATGTATTTTTTTTTTTTGATTTTTCCCATGATAATCATGTACCTTTCTTTGTTAGTAGTGAGTGTTTTGGTTTCGACCCTAGACTCTCTCTCTCTCCCTCCCTCTCTCCTGTTACATGTTTTATACGGTATCTTATTGCTTATGATATTTATTAACGCCCTCACTTGCAATCCCTGTCTAACTGTGATCTCTGAAACAAATGATATTAATTACTGCATATATATATGTATATATATATATGTATATATATATATATATATATATGTAAAGTGTTGTATTATCTTTTCTTGTTCCCTAAAGTTTATTCTTTGTCTTCATTTCTCTTGTTTTCCTAACCTTTCACTCTATGTATTTTTGTGTGTGGAGTGTCATGGATCTGGTCATAATCATAATAATAAAACAATTAATAATAATCATTGTTACTATTATCAATATTACAATTAATAAGATTGTAACTTAATGATCAATATATAATCATTTTGTTTTCAGTATTTGGTTTTTTTTTCTCTATTCAAATATAAGATGACCCTATACATGCAGGTTGTATGTGTGTTCATTCAATCGTAAACTGATTCTAATCATTTTCACAACAGTTTGTAACAGCAGAAATATGAGAATGTACTTATTGAAATTAGATTTTTCTCATCAACTTCGATAGAAAATATAAGAACTTGTGTGTGTAATGACGTATTGGATGTTAATTCCAAATCTAAAACTGGTTTTAAATTACATATTTTTCAGTTCTTTTAGTCAGTCAACTATACCAATTTCGGTATTGTGAGCAATGCGATATTCACTGAAAATTCGTTTCTGTACTACACCGTTTAAACTTATGTGTATAAAGGCTTCTGACAATACCATACTGTTTGCGGCGTAATGATCCAAATCTAGAAGTTAAGGTTCAAACTTTTGCTGTACAAATAACTACTGAGTCTGAAATCTGCATACTCTTATTTTCCTAAATCTCTTGTTCTTTCATTTAGAATATGAGCACTTTTAAGTTGTGAATTTACCTAAGTTGCTATGTCAAGAAAATGAAACAATTTTCTTAGGGTTTTGTAAAAGTAGTATAATGTTAGGTGCTTGTAAGTAATCTCCTGGAGGCTTCGGACTTGAGTCTAATACTAGTTTTACCTTCGGTCTATTCGGTTCTAAGCATATTGCACTTAATGTTGACTTTATACATTGTAACCTGTTTAAGTTCGAATACCACTGGGGACCAGACGCCCATGATATTAGTTACTGGTCAATTTCCAATCAGTGTAAGCGTTATCGAACCAGTTTTAATAACTCTGAAATTCAATGAATTTTTATAGTACATTATCCTGATAAGTACGGATCTCATCCATGACCCCAGTCAGCCAGTTGAAACGCAGAACTTCGTACGTATGTACATCAGTTCAGGTTGTCATATCATATTAACACAGAGACGCAAATGTCAAATAAAATCCCATGGTGATAGAGATAGTAGAGGTATTAATGATAATGAAGAAGACTAGGGTTTGAAGATATTATTCAAGAAACATAATTCAGTGAGATAAGGTTAGAAAGACAAATGTAGAGGTGTTGACAAATCCAGAAGAGTATGATTTGAGAGAGCACAACGAATGGATGCACTTGCGCCATCGCAAACGATTTTGGGGCATGTCGTTCAAGGTCTCTAACCATTGGTTACTTTCGTCTCGCGGACCCTAAACAGGTAGCCTGCATCTACCAACATGACTCAGTCCACTTGTCAGTGAATTCATGTTTTGATCTGGCCGCCCCTAGCTTTCTTCCAACCCAACAAGGATTTAATTCTACCTTTGGGTCCCTCGGCTAACGCTGAACGTTTAGATCACTTAGCTGCAATCTAATAGTCCACATACCGAACTTCGTTCCCTGTTGGGATCGTCGATGGAGAATTCTAATATCACTCCGTCATGTAAACTATGAATGTTACTTAAAAGAAAAGTGACTGAGTTAGTAATTTCTTACAACAATATATGAGTTTATGAATAAATATTTCCATAGAAGAATCTGTTCTCTAAAATTTTCAATGTCTCATTATCAACTTATCATTTGCATAAATTATCATCCTGATTATGAAGTGATTTAAAATGATTCATAATATTCAAACATTTGTAAATATTATCATTTTTGTGTATGGTTCTGTTTAGTCAATTTATAGATACGTTAGTCTGAAAATCAATTCAACACTTTATTATTGACTTTCTATGATATACATACTAATACTAACATATGCATACAAATATATATATATATATATATATATATATATATATATATATATATATATATATATATATATATATATATATTTGTTAACTGATATAAAATAAACATAATTATAGGCATAATTTCAATGATATTGATTTTCGATAAGTTATGAGAAGTATTTAGTAATTGTGTAATAGACAATTTACTAGGACTTATTTGTTTATCAACGTAATCCGATTTCATGAATTTGTTAAAAAAATAATAACAAGACAATAACCTCCAGATCAAAGCGAATAGTGCATTCATTTCAAATGTTATCACATTCGTATTTTTGAGTCTTTACAACTCACATTGTTTATTAAGTAGAAGTAGGAGAGGTGTCGAATTACTAAACTACTAAACTAAAATGAAGTGAGTAGGTGGATTGTATCCGAAAATATTGTCATTGTGTACTCACTTTAATAAAGATTACAAAATTTAACATTTTAACAAGACACATGCTACTAGTTTGAAATTTCTCATAAACAATTGACTTTTGTATTTATCCTAACGAAATGATGTGATAAACAGATAAATTAATACTTAACATGCTACCGAAGTTTTAAGTTGAATATAACTACCTCTTTAGAAATATTTGTTAGGTTTCTTGAACCTGATTACTAGAGTTAACTGTCTCAGCACAAATCGATGCATACAAATAAAAGGGACAGATGTTTGCCGAACAATAACTGCATCATTGAGAAAGTCAATCGATACAAGGAAAATAAGTGTAAGATATGTCACATGGCTTGTTTGATTTGATTTACTTTGCTAGGGCATTTAAGCAATATCATTGTTTTAGAAGCAGAAATAACTTATTGATTATTTCCTACTTATTGCATTTGCCCCGTTTTCTTGAACCCGTTGTATTCGAATCGTAATGGAAAGACGTTTTGCTTCACTTGTGTTGATAGCGGTTATTTGTATCTTCGAATTAGAATGCTAGCGGTGTTGTATTCTCTGAGCTGGATGATACAGTAGTGATACCTTTACAGTTTTACCGGACAACATCACAAACTTCAAAGAGAAGTAAGTAATCAGAATTTCTCCTCACTTTCTAACACCATGTTCTTTGGAGTTTAGTTGGCTGCTGTCCGTGATGGAAGTTGACTCAACTTATTAGCCACTCTGAAAAGTGATTAACAACTACAAGGTCACATATCAATTAGACAGGAAACTGTAAGAATAAACATGCAGAAAACAGCTACTCAATTAAGGATAACAACCGACCGAACTCCAGGTCCAATAGGACAAACTATTAGTTGTGGAGAAATTTTAACAACTTACTTCTATGCGAATTATGTACTGACAATGTTTTCAGGAAAAGAAGAATGAAAATTGTATAATCAAATCACTCAACTTAGTAAACACAACACCCACAATTTTCGCCTCCTTAACAATTTATCTTACAGTGATTCACTTTCGAATATTCCTTTACACTGCAAGGATACTCATAGCTAAATCTAACTCAGCAAGAGTTGGCATGGAAGTAAAGCGATCATGTGCTTTTCGCTGAATGAATCTTGAAATTGCAAGACTTAGAAAAGAAAAAGAATATTCTCAACTTTGGGCCGGGCATCATGAACTCAACTACCTATCAAAGATACTGCAGGATACCATTTGAAATTTATTTGAGTAGTCAATAAGACACCGATCATAACTATTATATGCAGACAAATCGTTTCCTGAAAAATTTATTTATTAGCGATACAAGATTTTTAAATTCCAAGTTTTCAGATAGTTTTGTTAATACAATGTTAATACAATTTCAAATTCATATATTTTATGCGTTCATTATTCTTTTAATTTTAGCCAGAATTCGCCTTGTACAAATTTGTATATGGAGCTTTAAAAAAAGGGATAATTGTAGCAATGA